TGGATTTAATTATGATATCATCCACATAAACCTCCATCTCTTTGTGAATCATGTCATGGAACAGGGTAGTCATGGTCCTCTGATAAGTGGCTCCAGCGTTCTTCAACCCGAAAGGCATCACTCTATAACAAAATGTTCCCCATGGGGTGATAAAAGAGGTTTTCTCTCTGTCTTCTTCTGCCATCAAAATTTGATGATACCCAGCAAAACAATCACCAAAAGATTCAATTTCGTGTCCAGCAGTATTGTCCAAAAGAATATGAATGTTTGGCAAAGGAGAATCGTCTTTCGGACTGGCCTTATTCAGATCTCTGTAATCAACACACACTCGCACCTCCCCAGATTTCTTAGGCACTGGCACAGGATTCGATAACCAGATGGGATAATGAGACACCATGATTATCTTAGCATTGAGCTGCTTCACAATTTGTTCCTTTATTTTGAGACTCATTTCTGGTTTGAATTTACGTGGTTTCTGTTTTACAGGTAAAAAATTTGGATTGGTTGGCAACCTGTGAACCACTATGTCCGTAGAGATCCCTGACATATCATCGTATGACCATGCGAACACATCTTGAAAAAACATTAAGAATTCAATCATTTCCTCCTTTTGTTTCCTATTCAGATGAATGCTGACTTTAACTTCTTTAACCTCCGTCTTAGTGCCAATATTGATGATTTCTGTTTCTTCTAAGTTGGGTTTGGGTTTCTCTTCATACTGTTTTAAATCCCTTGAAATAGACTCAAATTCTTCCTCAGTATCGCTCTCGTTTTGAATTTCAGATTGCATGATTTCAAATTCATGAGAGATATCGAGATTGCAGCCATCGAATTCCAAAATGGTGACATCCAAAGGGTCAAAGGATTTTATTTGTGGCCATCTGAAAATAAAATAGAACATAAGTAATGAATAAATAGCAAATACCAAAGAAGTCTTTCATTTCATTAAATTCAAAATGCATCGAGACTTCACAAAAGGATAAATATACAGACATGATTGCTATTTAAAGACATATTTAACCCAAACCTTTATTTTCGTTTCAGCAATTTCCTTGAACAAAGCAAGCTATATTAACTGAAACAAGAATAAAGGTTTAAAAGATGAAAGCAATTTCTTTTAACAAAAGATCCAGACTACTGTCCTATCTGGTTATGATCTAGACAAAAGACAATCCCCTTAAATTTACCGAAATTCCCTTCGAGAGGGAAGATAATCAGCAGTCCAATTCTGAATAGCTCCTTCGGTAATTGGCAAAAATTCTGCATTCTCTGATGGCTCCTCCTCACAAGTGGCCCCGACAAATAATTGAGACAGGTCCAGTTCAATCTCCTCCACAGGATTCTTTGTTTCTGACATAATCATCTCTGCTGGACGAGGAAAGGTGTGATACAGCGGTGGGACATTTAAGGGATTTTGCTTGCCCTTCTTTTCAGCTTGTTTTCGAGCTTGCATTTCCCTCCTATCCTTAGCAGTCGGATGAAATCCCAATCCAAATGTATCGTTTGCGTCGGGATCTCTATCGGCTCTAAAATTCCTTGCAATTCTCGCCCAAGACCTCTTCCTATTTCATATCCGCCTCGGATCATCTCTCTCGCCATCATAATACTGGCCTCTGGCAAATCTGATTGAGTCAACGACTTATCCCTAGATGCCCATCCTACAGAGACTATGTCAGCAACATGATGAGATGAAATTGGAGTCCCTTTTCTGTCTTCACCTTTGAATTTTGCATCAATGATCATGGTACAGTCATCCTCAGCAAATACAGTAATGAGCTGATCATTCACAATAAATCTCAACATTTGATGCAGAGAAGATGGCACTGAATTGGAAGCATGTATCCAAGGTCTTCCAAGTAAAATGTTGTAAACACTGGAGAAGTCCATGACTTGGCAAGTAACTTGGAATTGAGCAGGGCCTATCTCCAATACCAGATCTGCTTCACCCATAGATTCCCTCCTTGAACCATCAAATCCTCGAACCACAGTTGCAGATGGACGGAGTTTAATATCAAGAAATCCAAGCTTGGTGAGAGTTTTCCATGGACAGATATTCAACGCTGACCCATTATCCACTAAAACCCTCGGCAACAGCTTTCCATTGCAACGGACTGATATATACAAAGCTCTGTTATGCCCGATCCCTTCTGCAGTCAGATCATCATCGGAGAAGATAATATGATTAGCAGCAAGTACGTTCCCCACAATGTTGGAAAATTTATCCACCGGAATATCTTTAGGGACTTGAGCGTCGTTCAGAATTTTGAGCAATGCTTCTCTGTGCAGCTCAGAAGTCAGGAGAAGATTCAGAAAGGAAATCTGAGCAGGCGTCCTATCCAACTGCTCTACTATTTTGTACTCGCTTCTTTTCAGCATCTTCAGAAAATCTACAGCTTCATTTTCAGACACACGAGGCTTGGGTGTCGGAGATTTAACCTTGGCCCTGGATTGAACATCAATATCGGAGTTTCCCACAATTTTTTCAGATCTAGTAATAGTAGATATATCTTCCTTCAGGCAATCTTTACCTCCAATTAATAGACTGGGCTCCTCGTAGTTCCATGGTACCTCTTGCAAGTTATTGACAGGCATTTGCTCTGGAAATTCGAGAATGGCAGGCTCTGATATATCCCATTCAAAAGAGGGTAGATCCAAAATAAAAGGAACTTCAGAATTGTCGGCCTCGGAAGGCCCTCCTTCTATCATAAACGGCTCCTCTTTCTCAAACACAAAAGATTTTAACTTTTCCTCAGCATTATCCTTAGTTATGGACTTTTCAACAGACAGCATTTTCCTCATCTCTGCATGGTCAGTCTCTATCACGTCAAACACTTCAGTTTCATCTACGATGTACTGACTGGGGTCGATAAAATCTTCATCAGCGATGATAACCCCCACAGTGCTCCCATGCTCAGGTAGAGGATTCTTACTAACATTCGGTCCCTGCTCTCCCTTTCTTCTGAGAAGGATGTCTCCAGAGTCAATCATGTCCTGAATCTTATGTTTTAAAGCCCAACAATTGCCAGTGGTATGACCTGGACTTCCAGAATGATAAGCACAGATTGCATGCGGATCATAACCGGCAGGAGGACCTCTGGGATAGATTTTGGGAGGAACAGTGCCAATTTTCCCAGCTGCTTTTAATTGCTCATACAACTGATCAATAGGTCGGCCCAAGTTGGTGAAGGCTCGAAATTGCTTCTGAGTTTGAATTCCACTGGTTTGCAAAGGATTTTGAGGAGGGTTATTGTTTTGCAGGATTGGTCTGGAATGGTAAATGGGACGAGAGTGATTTTGAAAAACAGGTTGTGGAGTTGGAGGTAAGGGCGAGGTATTCAAATGATTTGGCCGGGAATGATGGAATTGGGTAGTGGTGTGGTAGACTGGTTGAGGATTGGTGTAATACGGGTAAGGAAAGGAATAGGTGGGATGGTTTCTGGGTCTGAAAGACGGGCCTTGATCCCATATAAAAGCAGTATCACTTTCTTTTTTCTTGAATTGGGGCCTTTTCCCATTGTTGTTTTGATTCTGTAGAGCATCCAATTGCAACTTTAATGCAGACACATTAACAATTTTCCCTGCTTTGACAAATTCATCATACTCCTCCAATTTGTTAATGATAGCAGCAAATGGACTTCCAGTCATGCGGAAGATCTCTTCAAAATAGGGTGGATCGTGAGCCTTGATGAAAGTACGAACAATCTCCTCCTCAGTCATAGGAGGCTCCACTTTGGCAGCTAACTTTCTCCACCGTTTTGCGTAGGTCTTGTGATCTTCCGACGGCTTTCTTTTCGTACCCTCCAGTGTGGTTCGTGTTGGTGCCAACTCACAGTTAAATTCATACTGCTTCACAAAAGCAGTTGATAGATCCAACCAGGTCTTGACTTCTCCAGACTTCAAATTTGAATACCAATCTAGAGCATCTCCCTCCAAGCTTTCCGGAAATAGACGCATAGGCAAATTCTCATCATCCACAGGTTTACCTAACTTGTTGGCAAACATCTTGAGGTGCGTCTTTGGATTTCCAGTTCCATCATACTTGCTGAATTTAGGGGTTTTGAATCCCAATGGTAGCTGAATATCCGGGAAAAGACACAATTCATCGTAATCTAACCCACCATGCCTGCTCAATCCTTGATTCTTTCTCATAAAATCATCGAATCGATCCAACTTTCTTAACAGGTCTTTATCAACGGGTGTATGTTGTTCTTCTATTGCCGCCTTCCCTTGAGATGCCGTATCCATTACAAAAGGCTCCGGAATGTGGTGGTGCGGTCCCTGAGGGTTGGGAGGAATGTTCAGATTGGTTTGTGGATGAGTTTGAGGGATTTGACTACTGGTTGGGTTCACCAATACATAATTCGGATGCATATAGGAAAAGTCTGAGTTTAATCGGGCAAAGGTATTTTCAACGGGGTTAGCGAAAGGAGGAAAGAAAGGTGTTTGGGTATTGGATGTGTGGGGTGGTTGATAGTCTTGTGCAGGTGGGTGATTATCGATAGGTTCTTGGTCGTTTGGGACACCACCACCATTGTTGCTTGCGACCAACTGATCAATTACACGCTTCTGTGCGGCTATTTCAGCACTTAATTCATTGAACTTGCCAAGTACCTCACTTAACTGAGCTCCCAATGCTGTGAAGTCCGGTGATGTAACCATAGCAGATCTTTCCGAAGCTTCAGGAACTGAACTCATGTTTACAGACTGTCTCAAGGCTCTACTTCGGGACCTGGTGATGATGGGGCTTCTTTGGGTAGCAATTGTGAAAAATACCTGATAGTGGAGAAAAGAAACTGATTTAGAATTGAATTCTCTGTCAAATTGCTGTAATTTATTCAAGAAAAAGGAAAAGAAAAAAAACACGAATTAGTAAATATTTAAATAATTCGGATGCATGTCCTATGGGGGAGCCCTTTTTGTGCCAAGGGTAGGCCTAGCATGATGCAACACCTTCGAAATGGGACCCGTAATACAAACCTGTTTTTGACAATAATCCAAAATGAGAGCAGAAGAAAAATCATTTTCATTGATAAACTTGCCAATATTTACATCATGTCACGAAGACGATTCCGTACAAGATTGCCAAAGCTTCTGAACCTATCTAATACAGAGTCCTTTGTTTCCCTAGCATATGAAATTCTAACACATTCAGTTTGGTCATATAATTCTGCACATTTCCTTTTCAGCTCTTGACGCCTTCCTCGTTCATTTTCATACAATTGCTTGCTTTGCTCGGCCATCCCTTTGTATGCTTCGGCAGACTTACTTAACTGCAGAATTTCCTTATCCTTTGCTTCGATAATGGCTTTCAACCTTTTCACCTCCTCAGATGGCTCATCTTGAATTTCTTGCGCAGCGGATCCTCCTACCCAGTCTTCGTATTGTGAAGTCGTCAAACCCTTCTGCTTGAGCTCTGGGATGTATCTAAAACTCACGTCATCAGATAGCGTCACCCAGGCGTCAATAATCCGATCTTTCATAGGGATTTGATTTGGGCACATTCCCCAGTTAAAAATAATGGTGACTTCGCTCATGTCAAGCACGGGTGGTATTTCTTGGGTACGCCCTAATTGTCTGAGAAACCTTTTTGGGGCGTAGGCAGTAATCCCTTGAGTACCCAGTAAGAGAATGAATTCGGATGCCTGGGTGCGAAGAACGGGTTTAGTACAATCGGTCCAATCCAACACCCATCTAATATTTTGATCAGTCACGTTCTTCAAGAAATCCACAAACTCAGATGCATTGCACGGCAGACTGTCTCTATTAATCCTCTTGTGATGTGTGATTATCCAGTTGTATGCGAACATTGGTAGACTTGATGAAATAGCCGGTCGTCTCATGAAATGCTCCATTCCCCATATATGTAAGATCAAATTTGAACCACAAAAAAACTTTTTCCCTTTCTGACAGGTAGTGCAGGCTATGAAGATGTCGGCCAAAATGGTAGGAATAATGGAACACGGCCTATCATTAATTCCAAGAAACAAGTCATACAGGATTCTAGTGAGCTTGAAGGCTATCTTTTTATCTTTCCTAGGAAAAAAGAAGGTTCCCGTCATGACTAAACCGTATACCCAGACTCTCTTTCGATTCCACGTTTCCTTGGAAGTAAACGAGAAGTCCCCTCGATGCCTCTCAAAACCATCTCTTAGCGCAAATCGATCAAATAAGAACTTCGCCTCTATATTTTGGTCTGCCCCTTGTAGTACTGATTCCTTTAACCCAGTGAAACGGCAAAATTTAACTTTATTAGATGCTAGTGGCAATACCACGGCAGTTCCTTGAATCGGCAAATTGAGAAATCCGGCGACTTCCTCAATCGTTATGGTCATCTCCCTTTTTCCAAATCTAAAAGCAGAACAAGTGGGGTCCCATAGATGCACCAAAGCTTCTACCAAATATCCATCGGACTTAATATTCTTGAAATCCCCGATGTGTCCTAATCGATCGGCTATTTGGTTAACCTCATTGGGTGAGAGTAACGTGGGCCATCTTTGTACCTCTGGCGGCACTACTAACATCTGTTGCACTCGGCGAGGGCTTTCCATCTAGAAACCAAAACCGGAGTTAAATACCTTACCTACAGGTCCCATTTCTCTGGTTAACAGGAATTTAAACATGCAAATCCCAAAAATTGGGTTAAATACCCACGGGATTTAGGTTGGCCTGTCCCTAATGTGGGATTCCCTAAGAGGCATTCCCTTTCTAAGGCTTATGCATGATGCCATTCTTATCAAAGCAGGGAAAAATGCGATTTGAAATGAGACGTGACCTAAGGAGCCCTTTGTTTGCCAGGGTAAGCCTAAAATGGTATAACATTATGAATTTATGAACAAAATGCATCACAATTTTCAAACGTGCGATAACCTATCTACAAGGGTGGGCTTCTAAAAGAAGGTCATGTCAGACCTCTTATTTGCTAAGGGTTTGTGAATGCAATGGGGACACAAAAACCAAGAAAAGTTAGTTTAAACAGATAAATACACATAACACATTGTAGCAACGGAATCAACACAAGGAAATAAAGCAATAAAAAGAGGAAAAGGGTTGGACCCCTCCCCTCGTGAATAGTGTCCCTAATAGGGTAAGGTCGACTCTACCCTAGGCAAGCTAAAATGGATGCATGAGGTTAGGGTTCACTAATTCATCTAGACTCGATAAGTCATAGGTCCCCGAGCCTTCAGACTTAGAAACCAAGGGTCATCACTCCCAAGGTTCCTTGTCGGTGGCTCGAGCGATTCCCCAGACGTTGCTACGCACACGTCGTGTTACGGCTACCCGTCTGGGCGAATCTAAAAAGAATCCTCAACCTTCGACTAAAAACTAATAGGTCATCAACCTAAAGTTTGAAGCGGAAGATCGAGTGACCCCTCGGATCATACTACGCACACGTCGTGATACGATCACATGTCCAAGTGGGTCGCCTAAAATCCTAGTAGGGTGGAGTGGCGTGACAAGCCACTAAAAGAAAAATAAATAAGGGATAAAAAATAAAACGTATGCACGTATGCCAGTGCTCATTTTGGAGGGGAGGGATCGATAACCAATGCGAAGCTCTAGGGTAATATTTCCCACCCCCAAATGCAAAGCGCGATACATATAAGTAAATAAACAAAAGTAAATAAATAAATCATTCATCACATATACGAGGAACGATAAACGAATACGAGGGTGAAATGCAAAATATCCTAAAAGAGAAAAATGCAACCTAAAACATCCAAATATGATAAATATAAGGGTTAAAAAGAGAAAAAGACGACTAAACCAAGTGCTTGGACTCTCTTAGGTCCCCAGTGGAGTCGCCAAGTTGTCGCGCCCCATTTTTCGCGATGGAAAAGAAAAAGAGTTTTATAAAAAGATGTGATTTATTAATAATAAATTAAAAAGGACCTAGAATGGGACTTAAAAGAATGCGACAATTTGGGTCCAAAAATTCAGTCTAAAAGGGCTTTTTAGAAAAAATAGGAGTCGCCACTTGGTATGGTGTTTTGGTGTACCAAGTCACCCAAAAATATTTTTTGACAAAAATAAAATAAATCAAAACCTTTTTTGACAACTCCAGGTCATTGAAAACAAGAGAAAATGGGTTCGGGAGTCACGGTTGAAGAAAGGGAAGGCAAAGGTTCAATTGACTCAAACCTAAGGCACCCTTTCAACCTAGTCTAAGCTAGTCGCGAGATTTAGTCAAAATCTTCCTAATCTAACCCTTAATTTTATCATATTTGGATGTTTCCTACATGAATGCAAATTTAAATTTATAAAATATCGAAAGGGTCAAAATATCCATTCAAAGGTTTAATTGAAACAATCGCATTAATTGCGAAAGCCAAAATATTTCCTTGAAAGGGTCACGAGTATGCAAATGATGAAAAAAAGAAAAGTAAAGAAAGTAAATTAAATTATATACATAGATATAAGTGATCAAAGAAAAAGGGAATACAACATAAAGGGTATGGGAGGCAAAAACTCGTGACATAATTTTCTTATACAGGGATTAATGGGGTATTTGAACTAAAAAGTTATAATCACCCATTTCCCATGTTTGAAAAATAATTCTCCTAATATGCACAAGCAAATGAACTAACCTATTATACAATGTCCTAAATGAAATGCAATTCTAAATGATATGATTAACACATATAGAGAATAAGGGATAATATAATAGGGAATATCATGCAAATGAGAAAAGATCTTAAAAATGAAAATATTGCATGAAAATGTAGTGAATAGCACACAAAGATGAATCTAGCGCAAGACAACCTAAAGGGTCTAGCGTTGGACTAGCCCATTTCTAATAGTCCTTACTAGCGTTGGACTAGCAAGTAAGCGAAGAGAGAAACCACAACTAGCGTTGGACTAGTGTGGTGACGTTATGCATTAACAATTCATAGTGAAGCAAATAAAGCATAAATTAAAACAAATAAACACATAAGAGCACGTAACACATAATACGTAAGCATAATATCTAGATGCCAAAATCCTAAGAAAAGCGGATAAAACAATTAACACATAAGCCACATAAACACGCAACCTATCTATTACATCGAGGAGCGCCTAACCACAATCTAGGAAGGGAAAATATAATAAAACAAATCTAATTATCCTATCTATTACATTTTTGAGGTATTTAAATACCTCTCGAATCATTATAAAAACTAACTAAAACATATATAAGAAAATTTGAATGAATATTTAAATCAAATAAATAAAGCATATAAAAATATATAAACACATAGGAGCACATAGGAGCACATAAGAACACGTAATTGACATTGAAATAATAAAATAGGAGTACCTCCCGTTTGAAGTGGTGACTAAGTGGAGTCAAATTATCCTATTTATACTCACAATGAACAAAAGAATCATGGCACCACTTTAATTGCAAATGATAATAATGTTAAAATACTAAATTCACATTAACATGTCAAACGCAAAGAAATTTAAGAACATCTAAAAATTGCAAGTTAAATATATTCAAAAGTAACATCATTAGCTTTTAAAGAAAAGAAGCAATCACAATAAAAAAGAGTCAAAATTTGTCAAGGACTGAATTGCAAAAATTGAAAACTTTTGAGGGACAAAAATTGTATTTTTCAAAGTTTAGAGGTCAAAATTAAATGAAAGATAAAAATCAGGGACCAAAGTGCAATTACTATAAGGACCGAGTTGAAAAGAATTTAAAATGTTATGGGCCGAAACGAAACTACTCCAAAGATTAGGGGCTAAAATGCAAATTCGTTATCAGATCTTCTTAAGAAAACAGGCCACTGGGCCATTATTTATTTCTTTGGGCCGAAAACTACCTAAGCCCATCCGAAAGTCCAAGCCAAAACACACAGGCCAGCCCGTCTTCTATCACTCAAACCCAGCCAAAACACGTGGGCTCCAACCTCCTAGCCCAACCGAAACCCAAAAGAAACATCAACCAAAGCCCAGCCCCAAAACCTAACAAGACTAGCTCTTGGCCCAACGAAAAATAAACATTAGCCCAATCCCCTTTTTTTCTTTCTTTTCTTTTCTTTCTTTTCTTTCTCTTTTCTTCCCCATACGTTTCCTTTCCTTCTTCTTCGGCTAACCGAAGAAGCTTCAGCTGGCAGCCATGGTGGCCGCCGGTGGCGCCGCCGCCACCGGACCGCCACCGCCGGCGACCTTTCCGGTGATCAAAATTTCTCAAAATACACCCCTTCACTCGATTTTTCGAGTAGACTCCATTTTCGGAGTTAGTTTTTACAAAAGATGGTCTGAAAGTGGCCAAAATGTCAAAAATACAGTCCAGTTTTTATTTTTCAAAACACCCAAATCTTTCACCAAAAATCATAAAAAATATATTACAATACTCCTTATAACCTCTACAATACAACTATGATTTTAACTAACCAGAAAACAATAACAAAAGACTACATTAAGGCAAAACAGTCCCTAAAAATCTTTTTGGCATTTTTTCAAACAATTAATATGCATTCACAGACATCATTTCCTTTTCCCTCATCTAGTTCATGCCTTTTCCCAAATTTCAGCAATGCAACAACAACAATACAAACCAGCAAACAAGAAAAATTAATATGCAACCACAACAATAATAATAATAATAATAAAACAGCAAAACAAGAGAAACTAGACATTGAAACATGGATTGTAATATGGTAGAAAGAAAACTAGAAAATACCTCAATGTAGGTGGTAGTTCCTTAACCAAAATGTTTGATACAATTTCCACACCTTGAGCGTATCTCCCTGGCTCCCAAAGTTTCCTTCGTCTATCCTTTTCTGTCCGTTGAGAGCTTAAGGAAGGCCAAAATGGGGAGCTTTGTTCTTGTGTGTTTTCTGGTGAGAGTCAAAGAAAGGGCCGAGGGATGTATATTGAGAGGGAGTTGGGAATTTTTTTTCTTTGTGGCCTGTCTGATTTTTCCAGAGAGAGCCGAGTGAGTAAAATGGGTCGCCAAATTAGCTTTTTGTGCGTGTTTTCTCCTCTGCAAATGTTGAGTGTTGGCAGAGCAAAAAACTCATGGCTAAGAAGGAGTCAAATGGGTTTGGTTTTTTTCCAAATGATGGCTTCTGCCAAATGAAAAGAAAAGCCCGTGGGAGTTGAGTGTAGAATGGGTTAATAGGGGTTTTGGTAGAGAAAATGATGAAAATGTGTAAGTTTAGTAATAATTTGATTTTGATTTGATTTTTGATTTTTTTGATTTTTTGATTTTTTTTTTTGTTTTTAACTTTTCTCCCTTTTTTGTTTGTTTTTGTTTTGTTGTTTTTTTTTCTCTCTTTTTCTTTTCTAAAATAAACCTGCAAAAATGAGAAAATTACACATTAATAATAATAATAATAATAGATAACTTATTAAATAGATAAAAATTCAGGAAAACATTAAAAATTGACAAAAATTTGGTGTCTACAGAGTAGTAATTTACTTAAAAAAAAATAAGTTCCATATTTATTCAAATTTACTTTTTGAGACATAAAAGTTACTAATTTATTGAGTTAACTTACTATTTTTTATGTAAAACTTACTAACCAAAATTTTAGATACTGTTTTATTTAGATGACCAGTACAACAGATAATCAAATGGTCGTTAAAAGTGTTTTTACCTGTTATATCAGGTAAAAACAGTTCCCTACATGATTTTCAGTTTTTCTATGGACTACTTGATAAAGCTTTTAGTTTTTATTACAATTTCCTCCCTTCAAGTTATAGTTCAATTTCTAATTGGCCCGTTTATGTTGTACTTGAATGAATCCACCTATCCATTTCAAAGTTTTTCTTAGATATATAGAAAAATTATTCAAAACATTTCACACATTTCACCAAATAAATTTTTTCATCATTTACTTTTAAAATGGTAATTTACGTCCCTTACAATATAGTCAATAAAATTTGGTTCCAACATAGATTTTTAATAATTATAAATCTATTACGTGACCCATACATAGTCATTTTTTCAAAACAAAAAGGTTGGATCTTATTTGTAGTTAAACAAATGACCTGATTCATATTCATTTTTTTTTGGACCGATTCGTATTCATTTTTTGTCCTAGAAAAAGAAAAATCTGCCAAACTGTATTCAAAATTTTCTCTAAAAAAGTGATATCTGACCTAATTCATGTCCATTTTTGCCAATAAAAGAGTGGGATTTGGCCTTTTGTACATAAAAAATGATTGCATGTTGGTCACGTGGTGATTTGAAACTAAAAAGTGATCAAAAATTTAGGTTACGACTAAATTTTGTTAACTTAAACTTGTAAGGGACGCAAAGTTAACATTTTAAAAGTGAATGATGAAAAAATTCATTTGACAAAATGTGAGGAATATTTTAAGCAGCTTTTTCAATATATATTATGCTATACATCTAAATGTACTTCTACTGTCCATCCATTCTTCTTTTTTTTTTTTTTTTTTTGGCATGTATGCTGTGCAATTTTAAAGTTTTAGAACGAAATATCTTTTGCTCTTAATTTGATACATCTTTCAATTTCTTTTTTGACAAATGCATATAACCATGCCTTAAAATATGGCGTGTGCATGACAAAATGTCAGTGTGGTTTTTTGGGCTTCAAATTTTCTGTTCCCAAAGTAATCTTTGTCTCCTTTATCCCTTATTTGTACAGCTGTCACATGTCTCTAGTCTTTTGTTAATCCAAACTCAAATAAACATATAATAATCGATTTATAAGTTTACTCAAAATCAATTAAAACAGATAACTCAAAACTTTTTTTTTATTATCAACAAGACTCTTTTTTGTTAAAAAGAAAATAAAAAAATTGAATTATCTGTTTTAGTTGATTTTGAGTAAACTTATAAACCAATTATTATCGGTTTATTTGAGTTTAGATTAACAAAAGACTAGAGACACATGACAGCTGTACAAATGAGGGAAAAAAGGAACATAGACTACTTTGAGTACAGAGGATTTGAAACCGGTTTTTTGACATGCATGATGATGAAATATGATGGTATCTTGTTGACACAAATGAACTTAACAGTCATGTTGTGTTCTTTTGGGATTGGAAAATCAGGATATTGTATAGCATAGAATCCTTTTGCTACGACTGAAAGATTGAGGGAAACATTTAGTTGAATTGAAACGTGAAGCGGGGGCCAGCGGACAAGGTTAGAAATTAGAATACGGTGTAATTGGACAGAAAAGGTCGAATCAATCATAAGATTTATCATTGATGACAATTATGTGTATATGCTATCCTAATAGTGTATAATCTCATTTAAATTGACATAGAGTAGGGACAGGTCTTTTAATCCTAAAGGCAAAGGGAAGTTCTTCATATTGTCAACTTTTGGTTTGTTAAAAATATATTGAAAATGTGATAATCAACATTCTTTTGGCCGAATAGGAAAATATATATATATATATAAATCCT